CGCCGATGCCGACGCCGACGACGACGACGACAACGACGACGGCGGCGGCGGCGGCGCCGAAGGTGACGACGACGACGGCGACGACGACGACGACGACGACGGCGGCGACGGCGAGGGCGACGGCGCCGACGCCGAGGCCGAGGCCGAGGGCGACTCCGAATCCACAGCCCCCGTTGTACTGCGGTCCTTCTCTTGGTGAGCTGGGCCAGCCGCGCCGCGTCGCCATCCGCCTGGATTTCCCGGTACCAGCGGATCTCCTCCTCGCGCTCTTCGGGACTCATCTCGCGCATTGCATGCTTGGACCTGCTTTTGTGGGTCCGCCCCGAAGGGAAGCGATCCCCTGGCCCACACACCAAGCACACCAGGATCCCAGCAAGCTGCTTCTTGAAAGCATCGCTGAGGTCTGATTCGTCGGCTGGGGCAGCCGTGTCTGGCTGTTCTGGCGGAAGCTGGGGCGCGTCGGCGGGAACGCGCGGCATACCTCCCCGCAAGCACAGCCCGAGGTCTAATGTGGACTCGTTCTGGGTGTTGTAGTCCGAAAACGCTACTCGAGCCCACAGCTACGGTGAGGATGATGGTTGTGATGGCAATCGCGCAGCTTCGTTAAGAGCGGTACTGCTGCGCGGTAAGGATGCAAGCCCCTTGGGCGCCGAAGTTGTCGCTTTTGTGAGCGGTGCACGGCCATCGATAACTGCTAAGGATGGATCGAAGAGGCAAGGCTGCAAGGGTATCCTTGGAAACCTTGTCATCCTTACTGTGCCCTGTAACCGTGCGGAAACATCGTCGGCCAATCGCGATAGTATCCGTCACCGCGCCACAACTGCTGAGTGGCATGCCCTCCGGTCCATTCGAATCCTCTGAATTGAATATTGCAACTATCCATTACAGACCTCAGACAACGCATTTCACGGAAGCCTTAGGCATCCAAGGAAGCCTTAGGAACCCTCAGGAACCATCAGAATCCAAGAAGAACCCTGAGGAACCCTCAGGAACCATCAGAATCCAGAAACTCAGGGGGTCCAAACGACCCCATTTTTCAGGCTGCGTCCAGCCGTGGCGACGAGGGGCCCCTCCCGTCAGGAACCCTGTCTGGGTCGTATGGGAGTCCTATGAAACCCTGTAGGGGTCCTATGGGCCTCCCATGGAACCCTGTAGGGGTCCTATAGGAGTCCGATGGAACCCTGTACGGGTCCTATGGGCACCCGATGGATCCCTGTAGGGGTCCTATGGGAGTCCGATGGAACCCTGTACGGGTCCTATGAGAATCCGATGGAACCCTGTAGGGGTCGTATGGGAGTCCGATGGAACCCTGTACGGGTCCTATGGGGGTCCCATGGAACCCTGTCCGGGTCCTATGGGAACCCGATGGAACCCTGTCCGGGTCCTATGGGAACCCGATGGATCCCTGTAGGGGTCCTATGGGAGTCCTATGAAGCCCTGTAGGGGTCCTATGGGAGTCCTATGGAACCCTGTCGGGGTTCCATGGGAGTCTTCAGGAACCCTGTCTGGGTCGTATGGGAGTCCTATGAAACCCTGTAGGGGTCCTATGGGAGTCCCATGGAACCCTGTAGGGGTCCTATAGGAGTCCAATGGAACCCTACACGGGTCCTATGGGAATCCGATGGAACCCTGTAGGGGTCCTATGGGGGTCCGATCCAACCCTGTGCGGCTCCTACAAAAGTCCAATGGAACCCTGTACGGGTCCTATAGGAATCCTATGGAACCGTGTAGGGGTCCTATAGGAATCCTATGGAACCCTGTAGGGGTCCTGTGGGAGCCCTATAGAACCCTGTACGGGTCCCTGTACGCCCCGCGGGGGGGCGCGCGGGGAGAGCGTTGCGTTGCGTTGCGCTGCGTTGCGCGGGGGGGGGGGGGGGGGGTCCGCCAGCTAGTGGTTTCGTCAACAACAACAAACAACAACAACAACAACAACAACAACAACAACAACAACATGAACATCAACAACAACAACAACAACTAAAACAACATACAAACAACACACAACAAAAAACACACAGGACGGGAGGCTTGTGGGAAAACACACACACACACACGGAACACACACACACACACACAAAAAAAAAAAAAACAGGACGAGAGGCTTTTTGGCCATTTTCGACCCCTGGGGGCCCTCGCCGTTTCCAGGGAGCGTCAGCAAAAACGGCGCAGGACGAAAAAGCGGCCCAGGGGAAAGGGTCGGGACTTCCAGGGGCGCCGGCCTGAAAAAACTCAGGACGTCGCATGTCTGCGAACGTACACACATCCAGCACTTTTCCTAGAGTTTCCTCTTCCCCTCCATTCCCCATATATTTTCACGGATGTTCATCGGGAGCAACGTTTGTTTGCGTCGGTGTCTGGTTTTCCCTCCTGGTTCACGAGCGGCGGACGCGTCCATATCCGCGCCCTCGCGGACTGGACTCCGGGGCGCGATCCCGCGGACGCGCGGTCACGCGGGTACGCTCCGCAGGGCGCACCCACGGAGAGACGCCCCGTCTCCGCGAGGTCGCGGGGGCCCAGCCCGCGAGGCCATGGATGCGGAGATGCTGTTCGCCCACGAGGGCCGCTCGGGTGTGAGATGCCCCCTCTGCCGAACCAGGACCTCTCTGGCCCGCGCGCCGGTGCGCCTCGCCCGCGCGCGGGGCGCGGCCCGAGACCGACACGCGATGGTGGCACGAGCGCCCCTGCGCATCGAGGCTCCAGGGCCTCCTCGGCAGGACGCGCGTGCCGAGCCCTTCTCGGGAGGACGGCGGCGGCCACGGAGACGCAGAGCGCGAGGCGGTGCCCGGCATGGCCGTGCAGAGGCCAGAAGAAGCAAAGGCGGGCCAACGCGGGGTCACTCCCTATCGCTTCGGCTTCATCGCCCGAGCTCCGGCGTGCCACCGCGGGGGCGCTCGGGGCAAAAGTGGGGCCACTCCGTCTCACTTCGGCTTCACCACCCAGCCTCCGAGGTGCCACCACGAGCCCAACGTTGCGCTGCCTGTGCTTCGCGGTGCCTTCGCGTAGCGCAGGACTTGCCGCATGGATCTGTGACTCGTTCCAGCGAACTGGCAGTCGCCCCTCGGCCGTTGGTGGGCGGAGGGAAGGACGAGAACGAAGAGGAGCTGGCTGGAGGGAGCACGGCGTAGCAAAACAACGCATGACGTTTACATTCGCGTCTCGGTTTGTTCGGGTCATCCTTGCGCAGGGGCCATGCAGCAAAGTTCTGTACCTTTCCAAATTGAACGGATGACCCCCCAAGGAAATCCGTCCCCGAAGAGAATGGCTGCCTGGTGGAGGGAGCTGGCATGAAAGGCATACCTTCTGCTATGAGAGGACGGCATGGTGAGGACAAAAAGCTGGACGAAGTGCGGAAAATTGATCCGGCGCCGCGGCCATGTCAGAGCGCTCTGGAACGCTCTGTCAGGGAAGGCTTTCCAGCGCGGGCACCCTTACTATACTTCGCACGCACTTCTTGCACAACGAATGCAAGCTGCTGATTGCCTCTCTCGTGGCCAGGGGGTTGGGACCCTGGCTCCTGCTTTCGCCCTCGCAAACACTTGAGAGGAAAAATGCTACAAGCAAGACGGGGAGAGGAGTGCGAAGCCCCATTAAGGGGCCGAATCCTTCTACCCTAGACTTCGCCGCTGCGAAAGTTCGGCCCAAAATGCAGCGCCTCCCGTTAGGGCGGCGGGCCCCCAGTGCAGCGTTGTCCGAGGCGGTTGCGCCCGCGACAGGAGGGAAGACGTCAAACGGGGCCCGTTGGGCCGCAGTGGCCCCAGTACATGTTCAGTGGCCTCAGTACATGGAGGAGGAGGAGGTAGAGGGAGAAAGTCGCCAGGCAGCTTGGCTACCACAACCGGGAGATGCCGGGTGACGGTCGCCTTGCCGGGTGGCTGAATGGATGGTCTGCCGTTCCGTATTGGCAGAGCTTATTTCTCGTTTTTCCTGCAGGTCAACACTGTGTCAGGTTCCTCGCAGAAGCACCGCCCCCGCCAGTACATGTTCAGTGCAAGATTTGTGCTGCTCAAGTCTCGGGCGGAACCGCCCTGTCGAATTCGACCCCGATGGTTTCAGAATCCATTCGGAAACGTGGTTTGGAGGACGTCTCGAGCAAGAACCGCACTTTCGAAATCTCTGGCCAGAAAAAAAAACAATTGAATGCCAAATGGCGTGGCCATCTCGAAACGAAAATAGAACATCCACTCTCGAACAATTTTGAAACTTTCGGGCTCGATTCCGAAATGGCGCTTCCGCACACGGCTTCCTCCAAGACTCCAAACATTCTCTGACTCGATTTCGAAATGGCGCTCCTTCCCAAGACTTCCTCCGAAACAGAATTCGGAGCATCTCGGGTTCGATGCCGCGCTCCCGCCCAGGATTTCCTGACATCCAGAATTCGACACCCTTCTGGTTCGATTTCGACATGGCGCTCCCGCCTACGACTTCCTCGAACAAAGAGGTCGGCACTTCTTCAGCTCGCATTCGCAATGGCGCTCCCTCCCAAGACTTGTCTTGGTGGAAGCACGAAGCGGGTCCAAACCTTCGCAGCGCCGACGTGTTCCTCCTCCCACAGCCTCCTCGCCCCACCCTCTCTGCCTCCTCCTCAGCCTCCTCCTCTCTCTCCTCACGCCCCTTCCGGCGCGCACAGAGGAGCAAGATGCGGACAGGGGGGAGAACGACGAGGCGCAAGAAGATTTGAGCAGGGACCGACCGTCCCGGCATTCCTATAGTCATACCACGAAATGTTCTTAGAACACAAAAATGTTCTAATAACAAAAACAATGTTCTTAGAAAATAAACCCGATGTGATAAAACAAGACAGTCCTAGCCAGAAATGTTCTAAGAACATTTCGTGGGAACCACAAAAGGTTATTAGAACATTGTTTGGTGGAGTTATAGGCGAGCCGGGACGCTTCGCCACTGCTTGAAAGATAAGAGGACGAGCAGGACGAACAAAGAGCAGGATCTGCGCCCTGCTCCCATGCCCCGAGGGGGGGCCCTGGCGCTGTCTGGCCCCCGGCCTCGGTGATGGCGGTCTCGGGGCGCAGCCACATGCCGCGCAGGTCCCGGCTGGCGTCGTCTCGGGGCCGCTGAGGGTCCGCAGCAGCAGAGACGTGACGAGCAGGTCACCCTCCCTCCCCCCTCGTTGTATCCCGCTTCCCTCGTCCTCCCTCCCTTCCTCGTTTTATCCCACCTCCCTCGTCCCCCCTCGTTTTATCCCACCTCTCTCGTCCTCCCTCCCTCCCGCCCCCTCCCGAAGGGCCGAGTGCAAACGACGCGGGCGGTCCATCGCGTGTGCGGCCCGATGCCTGCCCGGCTGCCTGATTTGAGGAGGGGGGCCTCTCGGGGGGATGGTGGCGTGGGGGTGGGAAGTGCTCAGAGCACTCTGCTCCCAGAGCCTCTCACAAACGTTCTGCGGAATGCGTGGGGGCCTCTGCTGACAGGCTTACCGCTTCATCAACTCCGTCGATCTGTATGCTTATTGTTATTGTCATTTGTTATGTCTTTTCCATTTTTATGTTTTCATTTTTTTGAAAAAAAAATGTTAGAACAAATCCTGCCCTTACCCCTCATGATTCTCCCTCCTCCTCCCTCCCTCGGCGCTGCACGCGTCTCCTTCCTCTCCGCTCTCTTCTCCCCCATCCCTGCTGCACCATCCTCCCGCCCTGCTTCTCGAACCCTCCTCGCACGCCTTCGCCCCTTCGTGCTCCTCCTCGCTCCATCACCCCCATCCCTCCCTCCCGCTCGCTTTCCTCCTTCTTCCTCCTCCATCCTTTCTGTCAACACCACCAGGTCATCCGATGTTGCACCACCAGACGTGTCCGGGGGGCGGGCCAGGCGCTTTGAATGCGAATTCATTGCGAGTAAGTGGATGGAGAGGCGGATGTTCACAAAATGAGGCTCTCGCGTGAGCGCGGCACAGTCCTCCTAAACACTTCTAGCACTTACACGGATGGGAGGTCTGTGCGTTCTCAAAATGGGGGTCTCGCCTGACACTTTCTTCTCATTACATCCCACCATGAGTATCAAAATTCGCACAGCGCGACACGAGTGGATGGTGGCTGCTTTTCAACATGGGGCTTTCGCCTGAACTACCTCTCATTTCATTACCAGAACGTTCAAACCATGCAAGTGCTATAAGGATGCAGGGCGGTATGCTGCAAGTCTGGTTGGGCAGAAACTTGGAGTTGCATGGCAAACTCGCCTGGGGAAGCATCAACCAATTACCAAGGAATATTACATTTGATGGTGACCAGAAGCACGAGACTTTGATTCGAAGATGGTACCGATCGCGATCCAGAGGACGCCCCCCACTGCAGCAGCCAACCTCGCTGCAGGCTGAGGCCCTGGCAGTGGCGGGCAACGACCCCGACACTCTGCAGCACTTGCTGCAGAAGTCTTCAAAGTGGCGCGAGGCGATCAAAGAATATTGCGCGCTGTGGCTGAATACGCGTCCCCCTCCTCGCTCGCCCTTTTTCCTCCCTCTTGCTCCTCCTGCGCGGAGCCTCGCCGCCAATTCTCGGTGCAGCACCGGGGCAGACGGTGTCCTCGCCACCGAGGCTCGGCAACGTCTCCCATGACTGGTCCGTGCATGTCTTCATTCGCGCATGCGTCTGCATTTGCGAAATATTCTGCCAATGCGCCGCCTGGGCGCGGCCTCTGAGTGAGCGCGTGCAGCTCCTCTTCAAAGCGGGACGGTGTTTGGGCACTTCCTTGAGCTGCACTGCCCCGCCTTGTCGCATTCCTGATCGGCTGCTGTTTCACAACGGAACTCCCGTCTAAATTGCAGGCCCATTGGGCGTTGGGCGCTCGTCTTTCGCAAGGGCGCCTCGCGCCGTGAAAAGACATGCTTGCAGGGACTGATGGGGAGGGAACCCGGGATGGGAACGTGGATTGCAGCATCGTTGATGCATCCTGAGCTGACTCTGGTCTTCCTCCTCCTCCTCCTCCTCCTCCCACTTCCCTCGCCTTGCTTATCCTCCCCCGGTCATCACACCTGCACGGTTCGATCGCATCCGTCCGGATCGAAATGAGACCAAGGAGCGGCGCAGACGCCGCATTCCCCCTGGGCCTTCTACGTCGACAGCGCCTGAGCATCCCCCTCCTCGTGGGCCCCCAACGGCCCGCGAGCGAGCAGAGAGAGCACGTCTACACGACACAGCCGTCGTCCGCCGCCTCCGCACGATCGTTCACCACTCCTCCCTCCGCAGCCGAGTTGGCCCAAACCGCCTCACCACGAACCCCCCGGCCCGAGGTGGCGAGGGCCAAGCCAGGCCAGCAGCGCGCCGCGCGTCCAGAGCGAGTGTCCGCCGCTGCCTCTCGTGACTACCTGCCAGGCCACCTCAAGACCCGAATTTCGGGTTTGGGGGAGGGGGTATGGGCTCCATCTGTATTTGTTCGCTGTTCCTTGACCCCCCCCCACTGGAAATGGAGGGCAAGTTGAAGCCTTCGGGTTGGGCTGCGGTGGTTTGGTGGGTGGTGACTCTTGAGCAGGGACCGACCGTCCTGGCATTCCTATAGGCCTACAACCAAATTATCCCAGAGCGACCCAACCTAGGAGTTGGAGCCCCTGGGAAAGCAGCTAAAGCTAAGCTAAAGCTAAGCTCAAGCTAAGCTAAAGCTAAGCTAAAGCTAAGCTAGATCTAAGCTGAAGCTAAGCTAAAGCTAAGCTAAAGCTAAGCTGAAGCTAAGCTACAGCTAAGCTACAGCTAAGCTGAAGCTAAGCTAAAGCTAAGCTAAAGCTAAGCTAAAGCTAAGCTACAGCTAAGCTAAAGCTAAGCTAAAGCTAAGCTAAAGCTAAGGTAACGCTAAGCTACAGCTAAGCTAAATCTAAGCTAAAGCTAAGCTAAGAACCCTTCTAGGCAGAGCATAGGTAGGGAATCCAATAATGAAGGTAAGCTGGCCAAGATAAACCTGAGCTAGGATGAAGCTAAGCTAAGCTAAGATGAAAGAAGCTAAGCTAAGATGAGATAAGCAACGCTAAGCTAAGGGGACGTAATTGAGGGAACCGCGGGACGGATACTGGGGGAACCGCCCGGGGCGTGGAACACTGCCCGGCCCTTTAAGCATACCGAGTAAGAACCCTTCTAGGCAGAGCCTAGGTAGGGAATATTCTTAGAACCCCAAAAAGTTCGAAGAACACAAACCATGCTCTGATAACATAGCACCGATGTGTTAAAACAAGACAGTCCCAGCCAGAAATGTTCTCAGAACATTCCGTGGAGACCACAAAAGGTTCTCTGAACATTCGTTGGTAGGCCTATAGGCACGCTAGGACGTTTCGCCACTGGTCGAGACTCTCGTCCGCTTGGGCGCTCCAGGCTGTGGCACGGCTGGCTGCTCTGGGCAGCGCAGGTCTCCCAGATCGCGACTGCCGGCCTCGGCTGCACGCAAGAAGGGACCCCAGGGCACGAGGGACCCCTCTGGTGTGCGGCTCTCTGGCCGCTGCGTGCGGTGCGGACAGTGGCGGCCTTCCTGTGTGGGCTTGTCAAGGGGCCCAGGGACACACATAAATACACACAAATCCCAGGATTCCCCATAGCTTCCCATATTTTCCTGGTGTTCGTCTTCCCTCCCACTTCCTATGCTTTCCCGTATTCTCCTGGGAGTCGACGATTCATTGTGTCTGTGTGGTTTTTCCCCACATCCTAAGTGGGGTTCTTGTTCCCCACATCCTAAGTGGGGTTCTTGTTTTCTCTGCACACCCTCCGCGCAGGATCTCTCCTCCTCCTCCTCCTCCTCCCTCTACTCTGCTCCTCTTTGCTTCCTTCTCCGCATCATCATCACCATCACCATCACTCCCGCCTCATCATCATCATCATCACCATCAGCATCACCATCACCATCCCGCGATCACTCACCATCATCGGCATCGAACGATCATCATCATCATCATCATCATCATCATCATCATCATCATCATCATCATCATCATCATCAGCATCATCATCATCATCATCACTACTCGCTGACTTGAGGCCTGAATATGGAGGAAGTCTCGAGCTGGAGCCTCGTCTGTGAGTGAATTGCGAGGAAGTCTCAGGCGGGAGCCCCCTCCCTATGGGGCCCGCGCTTCATGTTTGAATCCGAAAGGGTCATCCGCAACGTGCAACTGTCGTCACTGTTGGGCTCTTGAGACTTGAATATGGAGGAAGTCTCGAGCGGGAGCCTCGTCTGTGAGTGAATTGTGAGGAAGTCTCGGGCGGGAGCCCCCTCCCTATGGGGCCCGCACTTCATGTTTGAATCCGAGCGGGTCATCCGCAACGTGCAACTGTCGTCACTGTTGGGTTCTTGAGACTTGAATATGGAAGAAATCTCGAGCGGGAGCCTCGTTTGTGAGTGAATTGCGAGGAAGTCTCGGGCGGGAGCCCCCTCCCTATTTTGCCCGCACTTCATGTTTGAATCCGAGCGGGTCATCCGCAACGTGCAACTGTCGTCACTTTTGGGCTCTTGAAGCCTGAATATGGAGGAAGTCTCGAGCGGGAGCCTCGTCTGTGAGTGACTTGTGAGGAAGTCTCAGGCGGGAGCCCCCTCCCTATGGGGCCCGCACTTCATGTTTGAATCCGAGCGGGTCCTCCGCAACGTGCAACTGTCGTCACTTTTGGGCTCTTGAGATATGAATATGGAGGAAGTCTCGAGCGGGAGCCTCGTCTGTGAGTGAATTGTGAGGACGTCTCAAGCGGGAGCCCCCTCCCTATGGGGCCCGCGCTTCACGTTTGAATCCGAGCGGGTCATCCGCAACGTGCAAATGTCGTCACTTTTGGGCTCTTGAGACTTGAATATGGAGGAAGTCTCGAGCGGGAGCCTCGTCTGTGGGTGAATTGCGAGGAAGTCTCAGGCGGGAGCCCCCTCACTCTGGGGCCAGCACTCCATGTTCGAATCCGAGCGGGCCATCCGCAACGTGTAACTGTCGTCACTGTTGGGCTCTTGAAGCCTGAATATGGAGGAAATCTCGAGCGGGAGCCTCGTCTGTGAGTGACTTGTGAGGAAGTCTCAGGCGGGAGCCCCCTCCCCATGGGGCCCGCACTTCATTTTTCAATCCGAGCGGGTCATCCGCAACGTGCAACTGTCGTCACTTTT